GAGAGAGAGGAGAGAGAGAGAGAGAGAGAGAGAGAGAGAGAGAGAGAGAGAGAGAGAGAGAGAACTGTACCACTGCGTTAGGTGGGTAAAAGACGGAGACATTGAGTGGACAGAAACGAGTTCGACGCAACAAAAGGACGAAGCCAAACATTCGCAAGAATAATTTCGTTAATGCACAAGGACAATTTTGTTTCTCTTCACGAGAAGAAAAAAAAGAGATACGCTTCTCCGGCACATGTGAACAAGGTACTCGAATTACGACGCGACGAATGAATTTTTACGATCGAGCACTTTTTGCATCTTCTAAAAAAAATGTAGTAAAATGGACTTATCCTTCCGTCGCGTCGTTCTAAGTTGCCCGAATAGCAGCTTGGCAAACCGCCACGAGACAGCGTTGTCTCTAGAGCCTCTCCGGTCCTTTCGAGCCGTTCCATCGCGCCGAGGGGATGATACATAACTGCATTTTCAATTAACGCCGAGCAGGAAATGGACACTTCGTTCCGTGCCGGAGTCCCGTTTTAATTGCGTCGCGCGTCACAGTTTCGCCGCGCCATCCGCATTTCCGCTCTTACACCTTCGGTATTTCACAACTCGCCGGGTTGTTACGCGGTTCTCTCTCTCTCTCTCTCTCTCTCTCTCTCTGCGAAATGATTCTGCCGCGATTCGGCATTGGGATTCTGGCGCGAGAGCGAGCAAGGAAAGCGACACAACGGTTGCTTTAACGCAACCCTTCCTTACGCCAAGCGGCAGAGCGCGACGCGCTTCTCCTCCATTACGACAATAACCGTCGACGCTCGAGTTCCCGGCCCGCATTGTATTGCGCGATGTGCCAGTACCGCGAAAGGTGTAACTGAGAGGTGGAAGATCCAGCATTGTACGAGTAAGCTTCTTGCGCGGCGTTGTCCGATATTACCGCGAAGTCTTGGGGTATATTTTGTGGTGTTACTTCACTGCCGACCCGGAGAACAAACGTGTCCGGCTCTCTCATCTCGGAAGTGAAGTCTGACGCGATCGAACTTGACATTAGTCACGGTCTAGCATGTGGCTTTTGCAATCCCGCTATGTACATGCCGGCGACAATGCGCTCTATACTTATTTTTCGAGATACTGTCAGCGCGACGTCGCAGAGACGCGCCGCGATAATTGAAATGGCACCTTCACCTCTCTCGCGTCTACCGGGACACATCGGGATAATTGTCGCACGCTGCAGTGTTGGGCATTAATCGATTCAGATTTTCTTTGATCAAAGTGATCGGCAAATCAATCATCGGAATTAATCAGTCGTCGTGTGTGTAATCACGAATAATTTAATCGATTGACGAAATTGTCTGGGTTAATTGTGACTTTACATATGACGATATTATTGATCAATTCTGTTTATTGATTCGCCGATTACTTTGGTCAAAGAGAATTTCAATCAACTAATCTCCAACATTGATATTACATTCACTCTTATCTCACTGTTATATGATATGTTTTCTCTTGGACAAAAATTTGCTGAGAATTTATTTTCACTTGTGACAGTCGTGTTTGTTCGCTCACAGAGATGCGAAAGCAAATCGTTACTTTCGAGTGGTTTTGAGTACTTTTCAAGCGCGTCTATCACACTTTGAACGAGAGAGTTATTATGTATCGCGATGGCGAAAGATAGGAAACATAAAAGCAGATTTGTCCCGAATTACGGCTTCTAGCTCGCCGATTAAGATCTTCTTAAGGGAGCTCATAAATCCCTCGACACTCGTAGAACAAGAAAAGCCGACACGATCAATATTTAATGACGGTCTTTGGGGATCGTTGAAAAGCCAGAACGAGTTTCCTCGTTATCTCCATTATGTCGCTGAAAGATTTCTTTGACGTAATGACGTGGAAGGAAATGCCGGACGAGAATTTATGATCCGCGGAGAAAATCGGACACGCGCGCGTCTCGTTTTATTTCGCCTTCAACATCCATGTTGACATTACAACAATGACCATAAAATTCAAAATAGTACCATACAAATGCACAACACCTGTCCTTTGTGCTGCGCTGTACGTTTATATGCGGTTTTTTCTTTTTTAATTTTATCCAAGCTTAATCGAAACGTCTATCGGAAAGAAATTAAATTTCTTTTATAGCGACAAGAAATTAAATGGCGCTTTGATTGCATGTGGAGTTCCAGCGATGGCAAAGCGGACAAATATGAGACAATGGTACACTCGATAACTCGCGCTTTAAAGCACGTATTTTTATTGAAATGCTTTACTTATACAACTGATGGTACAGTTGTAAGTGTAGTATCATGATCACAGTAAAATCTCGCTGAAATAATCAGTCGATGGTAGCGACTGTTTCTATTATTGATACAGTTTACAAACGCAAACAGTATCACTGCACGTAAATCGATTTGACACAGCGTATAGAATGAATTTATGTACTATAGATTTTGCAGTAAAACCTTGCTGGTCAAAATCAGTAAGAGATATAAGATGGAGCAGTAAAATGCAAATGTTTCCACTGAAAATTAGTGATTTACTCAGTGGCTATCGGTAAAATACTTCTCTCGCTGGTTCAGAAACATTTTTGCTGACTCACTTTAAGGGGGAACAACACCACGGCGAGGGAAAAAGAACACTTTTAGGAATTCTTAAGTACATTTTTTTTAAATAGTCATTTTACATGTATTTAGTACATGTTTAAAATGAAAATTATGTTGTTGTTTATTTGAAATATATATTTTACAACGAGTAAAGTTCCGTAAAACAAATCCTCTGTCGAGAAACATGGTTACATTAGCTCAAATAATTATCTCTGAACTGTTAATCCGAATATCGCAAATAAAAAGATTCCGGATGTATAACCTAGGAAAACGATAGCCAGGTGAGAGCCAGCGCTGTTGTACGAATGTATATTGTGAAATAAAGTAACGCAATTACAAAATAATGTAATTACAAAAACCAAACGTTTCGGCCCTGTACTCGGACTCAGTGGGAGTTACAAATTAAAATAACAAATGTCAATTTCTTTTTCGTTTATAGCACACATATAATTTATTCTGTTAATTTATAACTCTCACTGAGCAGGATTTGAATATTGAAACGTTTGGTTTTTGTAATTACGTTATTTTGTAATTGCATTACTTTATTGCACAATATACGCTCGTACAACAGCGCTGGTTCTCACTTGCCCATTATTTTCCTCGATTTTTAATCTGAAGTCAATGAAGTAAATATTTTCGAAAATTACATGAAAGTAACTTCATTTGTACTCAGGAGTTTTAAAACAAGCTTTGTTTTCACAGAATAGTAGATTTTATGAGAAAACATTACAAATTTTTCGACGAAAGTCGATCAATTTTTCGAATGATTCTTAGTGAGTTTTTGAAAGCAAGAAAAATCCGTACGTAATATATACAAACGAAATGAATTCAATTAAAAAAAATCTTCCGCAAAGTAGAAATCAATTAGATCAATAACTTTCTAAATATCTCCGGGCGAACTTTAAAAAGATAGTCTCGTTGAAAGTTACCCCTCGGTTCCTTATGTGTTTTTAAAATTCTCTTTTAACTTCATCAATTTTCAAACAATTCTCCAAAGCTATATTTTTTCAGAAAATGCGGTAAAAAGAATTGATTTTTTTGGAAACCGTAGTGTTCTCCCTTAAGAGAGTGCTAAAGAAGTGGCGTGTGCGTTCAATAATTACTTCCCCAGAGTAGGTATTATCGCGACGGAGATGCACAGAGTACGTGTTCTACTTCATTTCCCGCCGATGTATAATTCGCCGATTCGTTTCCGTCGAATCGCGAAGTACATTAATTCGAACTCTCTGCGAAATTTACGTCATGAGGTGTGTTTCGTGTTTTAGCCAACAAATAATTACACTATGTTACAAATCTAAAAAAAAGTTTCTTGCAGTTTTGTTATGAAGGGTCGTTTTTCAATAAATAGGATGCGCTCAATACGAATAATTTCAAAAATTGTCTGTCACGTAAGGTTTCCGAGAAAGAAGGGATTGAAATTTCTTCTGAAATCTCCTTCGCGTTTTTGGCCATTTTCATAAATTCATAACGCATGAACCAGATGTCCCAGCAACTTTTGAAAGATCTGAAATTGAAGCTTAAATCTTTGTCTTCATTCTAAGAAGGAGAAAACTGGAAGTGCAATTTTGCTACTTTTCATAGGAAGATAAAGAGCATTCTTAGATTTATACAACGAAATAGAAAAATTATATCATGCCCAACAAATTTATGAGTAAATTCTTCTTAGCGACAGTC